TATTTTAATTTTGGGGGTATTTTCATAAAGCATCTGGGACATTTTCAAAATAATGACGCCATCGATATGTATTAAATTTTCTTGTTGGATAGTGTGAAAGACGTTTAAAAGAATGGCGCAGGTATAATGTTGCTTAAAAATACTGATTTTTCAAAAATTGGAAACTTTTGTTTCGGCGTCTTCTTACAATTAAAATATTAAAGATTGAAATTTTTTCGTTCATAAAATCTGTTCCTTGAAGATAGATTTTAAAATAAGGTCATATACATTTTTTGAATATTTGAGTATCTTTTGCGTAAATTTGTGTGAAATTATGCAACTTTTAATTTTGTTTAAACAATATTTTCTTAAAAACGGCTCCATTGACTTTGATTCAATTTTGTTGTTGGATAGTCTGAAAGACGTTTAAGGAAATGGTGAATATCTCATGTTGGTAAATAACTGATTTTTTGTGAAAATTGAAGAAATTCAAAATTTGTTGGGCGTCTTCCTACAACTACTATAGAAGATAAAATTGTTTCTTAATGAAATGTGCTCATCAAAATCAGATCTTCAAATAAGGTCATGTTCAATTTTTTTTTTAATATGAGAATTTGTTGCGAAATTTTGGGTCAAACCTAAGCGATTTGTATTTTCTTTAAGCCATTTTTTCTTAAAAATCGCGAAACAATTATTTATTAAATTGGGACCTTAAATAGCATAAAGGTCGCTTCAGAGAAAGGTGCAAGTGTGATTTTAGTTAAAATGCGGGATACTATGAAATTTTTAAAAAAAAACTAAAACATTTCGGCGTTTTCCTAGAATTATAATTGTGATGATACAATTGTCTCTCTTAATGAAATGTGTTAAAAAACATATAAGGTCATGTTGAATTTTGTAAAAATATCATTCTTTTTTTGTAATGTGAGAACAGAGTTACCCGCTCCAAATTTAATGCGCTTTGTGAACAAAAGTTGAGAAGTGTTTGAATGCTATTGCTATTTTTAAAAAAGAAAGTATATTGATTGATGGTAATAATGTATGATGGATGATAATCTCTCTCTCTCTCTCTCTCTCTCTCTCTCTCTCTCTATCATTTTCTCTCTCTGCGCCTCTGTTTCTATTTCTATCTCTGGCTGCCTCTGTCTTTTCCTCTGGTTGACTCCCTCTGTCTGCCTGTGCCTCAGTCTGTCCCTCTCTGTCTTTTGTCTCTCTGGGTCTGACTGTCTATATTCGCCTCTGTCTGGTTCTGACTCCCTCTCTGTCTCTCTGTTTGTCTCTGTCGGTCTCTTTTTCCTTCTCTTTTAATCTCTCTTTGTCTCTCTGTGTCTGTTTCGCGTCTCTCTATTTCTGTCTTTATCTCTTTCTGTCTGTGTCACTTTCTGTCTCTGTATCTCTCTGTCTTACTCTTTGTCTCTCTGTTTGTGTCTCTGCATTCTGTCAGCCTCAGTCTCTCTCTCTCTCTCTCTCTCTCTCTCTCTCTCTCTCTCTCTCTCTCTCACGCGTGCCTCGGTCCTTATCTCGGTCTGGCCCTGCGTATCATGAAGCGCAACCTAGTGGTGCAGCGCCATCTAGTGGAGTTGCAACAAAACTAACGGCTTATAAACCTTCTAGGGAAAAATACACGTAGATGTTCCAATTGTCATGGAGATCGGTCACATGGTGTCGGAGTTCACTGTTCTGTCAAATACTAACATCCATTTTTACAGATATAGACCAGGGTTGTCAAACTGGCGCTCGCGGCCGCAAGCGCCCAGCGGTGCCACTTATTGTGGACCGCGGAAGGTTATTAGTAGAAACTGAAAGTCCCTTGCATTCACGCGAGAATAGCGCGCCTAGCGCATGCTCCCTGCAAGTTGAACATCCCTGGTAAAGACTAATGAAAATTCTCAACCCTGTGTATGAGTATTCACAACAACGCTTTC